AGAAACAAGAGACAGAGAGAAGGGAAGGGAGAAAGCAAGCCCCAGGGTGATGGTCACACCACAATCCCTTCTCCATCCACCTCTCAGGCTTTGGGGCACACCTGCACATGTGCCCAGCATGATTTTGAAGCCACCAGGTCTGGAGGGGGGTAGATCCTCAGTCAGCAATGTGGGAATCTAGTCACCTTAACCAGCATGCCATCTGCTGGTCCCAAGTACTAGTTTTTTTGTTTTGTTTTGTTTTGTTTTGTTTGTTTTGAGAGATTTTTGCTATAGGCCACGTGTGCTCACTGGAGAGACAGAGAGACCAAAAGCGAAAAATCACCACCAAAGAAGATGGGCCACATCTTCTTTGGGCCAATCTCTTCTTCATTCTCTGGGATCTTGGGCATGCATGAACAGTCACCTGATGTGAGTATGAAGTAACCGGGACTCGAGCTGCGGTTGCCCATGTGGGAGTCCAGTGACATAATAGCTACTCCATTTCCTGGTCCCCGTACTAGTCATTTTAAATGAAATCATTTTTAAAAAAGTTTTGCTATAGAGTGCATGCACTCGCCAGAGACACAGAGAGGAAAAGTGAGAAAGCACACCCCGACACAGGTGGGGATGGCCATGCTGCAATCCCTTCTCCTCCATTCTCCTCTGGGGATTTTGGGCACACTGTGCATGTGTCTAGCATGACTCTCAAGCTGCTGGGTCTGGGACTTGAACCATGCAGTCAGCCATGTGGGATCCAGCTGCCTCAACTTCCACAAAACCTGCTGGCCCTAAATAAGATAAATATTTTTAAAAAAGAGATTTTGCTATAAGACACGCTGCAATCCCTTCTCCTCCATTCTCCTCTGGGGATTTTGGGCACACTGTGCATGTGTCTAGCATGACTCTCAAGCTGCTGGGTCTGGGACTTGAACCATGCAGTCAGCCATGTGGGATCCAGCTGCCTCAACTTCCACAAAACCTGCTGGCCCTAAATAAGATAAATATTTTTAAAAAAGAGATTTTGCTATAGGACACGTATGCTCACCAGAGAGAGACAAAGTGAGAAATTGGCCCCCAAGGAGGACGGCCAAGCCACAATCCCATCTCTTCCACTCTCCTCGGGATTTTGGGCATGCACAAACACACGTCTGGCATGAGTTTTAAGCCTCCAGGTCCAGCACTTGAACCACAGTCGACTATGTGGAGTCCAGCGGCATAACTATTATGCCATCTGCTGGTCCCAATAAAATAATGTTTAAAGCGTGATGATGTACTGTAGCTTGTAGAAAACGTTCTGATAAAGAAGTGATAATGATGTGTAAGATTTAATCCAGGCCCAGCTGCAGAGGCACCGTGGTAGCACAACGCTCTGCAATGCTGGAAGCCATATGGAAGAACAGGGTTTGGTTTCCAATTTGGCCTGTGTACTCATATGCACACGTGTGTGCCTGTGAGCTTCGCTGGCTGGGAAGAGGTTCATGGTGTGACACATTGCCGAGGGGACTTCTCTCTCTCTCAGTATCATGGAAAAAGCAAGTAAACTTTTTAAAAAAGATTAAGAGCCAACCCTGCTACGAAGCAGTTAAAGAAGCTGGATCCCACCTGGCTGATCACTGTTCAAATCCCAGCCTCCGTGGCTTGAAAACACATGTACACGTGTGCTTAACATCCTGACAGGACAGAAAAAATGGAGGAAAGGGGGCTGCGCATGACCACACCCCAGTGGGGGTGCTTTCTCTCACTTTCTAGCAAGTATGGGCAATTTAAATAAATAAACAAATGAAGGATTTAATTCAAAATAGCTGAGGGACAAAGGAGGGGTTGACCAATAGATATTGGTACAAACAAAACAAATCTGTTCACAAGTTACTGGTTGAAGATCAGAGATGGTACTTGGGGGTTCACGATGCTCTTCTCTTTGTTAGTATGTACATTTGAAATTTCCCACACTAAAAAGTTAAATTTTAAGAAGAAAATGGAAGACTGAGGCTGGCAGGTGGTGTGGTGGTTAAAGGTGCTGGATACCCGCATGACCAACTGTGGTTCAAGTCCCGGGCCTGGTGGCTTGCTTTCTCACTTTTCCCCTCTCTCTCTGTCTGATCAAACTGGAAAATAATAAATAAATAAATAAAGTAACTAATTAATTTAATAATTCTTTAAAGAAAAGAAAATGGGAGAGAATTAAAACAGAAAACAAACACAAAAATACTCAAAACAGTGAGACCCAATAAGATGAAAATGAAATTATTATGCCATTTAAAAACAAAGTACTGGGGACCAGCAGTGAGTGTAATGGCTGTATCGCTGGACTCCCATGTAGTCGACTGCGGTTCGAGTCCCGAACTCGGTGGCTTAAACTCACACTGGAAGCATGTGCATGCGTACCCAAGATCCCAAGAGGAGAATGGAGGAGAAGGGATTGCTGCATGGCCATGCCTCTTGCGGAGTGATTTCTCACTTTCTGTCTCTCTGTCTCTCTCTGTCTTTCTGGTGAG